TTTAGAAATTCGATATTGTAAATGCTTCGGTATTTGATCCGCTTCGACTGTTGACCAATCGATAGTCGGCGAGCTGTGACAAACCGTTACGTCACACCTTTCAATATTTTCGATGCATTCGTCTCATTGAATTAAAATCAAAGAATAATACTATAAATGCGAATCGATTCGGTAATATAATGAAATTTCGTCAAGACAAAAATAACATTGTGAAGAAATGTTTATTCGACGTCGTAAATATTTGTGAAGCTCGATTCGTTTAAAATCGAATTTTCATCACATTAAACCTTTCGAAATACACGTACAATTTTAATGATTAATCTCCGAAGATTGATTGGTTAACGACTCGTTGCGCAATACGTTGCACAGAGCACAATCGCCGCTAGATGATAAGAAGATTAATCGTTGAAAACTTAATCAGTAGAAAAATATTAATATAAGGCCAAGTGTATCTTTCCATACAATTTATATCATAAGAAGAGCTCTTGTCGTTCTTCCGACTTTTTCATCGCGAATACTATTAATACAAATTGAACGACGGGATATATTTTAGTTTGAATATTTATATTTCGGATATAGAAATTTGTGCGTTTAGATGCTCGCAATTAAGAAGAGCTTATTTTTGAGATTCTCAAATTTCTGTTGAGAGAAATCAAGTAGACCATATCCTGCGAAGCTTTTTTCAGTTTGTATGCATATGTAATTTTCATTTTTTGACAAATATATTCAAGACAATTTGGGAAAAATAAGCTCTTCGTTTTGTAAATTTGATATTAATGAAAATTATACATTGTCAGAGTGATTTTATGCGATGAAGTTTGTAGTTTCCTCTTTTTTTTTATTATAAATTCGTGATCGAATTTCGAAAATACGACGTGAGTTCGACTTGGCGCCGTAACCAAAAAATACGATTGTAAATAGGTTTATCTTTAAGGTATTAAGTAGTAAATTGTAAGGTATAACGGATCGAAGAATGTACGAAATGGTTAATCCCGAAGTCCAGTAGTGCTAACGATGGCTGTGATAAGGATAAGAAAATATTAAGAAGAATGAAAAAAAAAAAACAGAACACACCAACGTAAAAGCGAATTGACGAAGCTTATCTTCTTGCTAATTTAAAAAAAAAATTGAGTTAAATTTATTTCGATCACTATACGTGTGTATACACACACTTGTACACACAGCCGTGTATGATATATTAGAATAATTACTTTAGAAAATACAGCAGACTATAGTATAATAAAAGGACAACTTTTCATAGTACTTTGTCTGTTAGTCGATATACGGCGTTACCGTTATTGTTAATTAATAAATGCAGTACACGGAGTGTTCGGAATTATCACGATTTCCATTGTTCATTTTGAGTTAGTATACGAAACAATAGTCGTGACAATAGCGTCCACAAAGTGCCCACAACTTAAAACTTCGAAAATTTGTCGAATAACCTTGACAAGAAACATCTTATGTTAATTAGTTCCTATTTTCATGAATAATCATGTGGTAGAATCAAATTACAGTGATTTCGCGCATTTTTATTAGTATTACATCCTATAAATTGTCTGTTAAGCGTAAAGGAATGTGATAGTTCAGAGTCACCACGTATACGACGTTTTCAAGAGGAAAAATTTGTCTTCGGCCTCGCTTAAGTAAGATCTCCTGCGACATTCATGATAATATGTCTGTCATATTTTTCTTTCGTTCTTTCAAAAAGAAACTGTACACATACACTCATACACTCCTACACGAACACACACACATTTACACATGACGAAAACGAGTCGTCATTAGATCAGTGTTACGCTGACGGCACGCGCGCACACGTACACGTGCGCATGCACGCACACGTATGTAGCCGTAGAGAGAAACACGCATAATTATGACACATAACACTTGAAGATCAATGTGATCGTGTGATCAATGTGATCTGGTTGTACGAATATTCGTATTTAAACATGTTGGACGTTAAATGTGAATTATTGTATCGTCCGCCACTTTTTGTGCTGATGATTCTTGTGCTGATGATGTCGATCAATACATACGATCGGTGGATCCGTCGCGGCGACGCGAAATTAAATTGAAGTCTCGATACTTTGCTCCAATTTTTAGGAAATCGATTCTTTCAAGAAAGAAATCGATAAAATTGTCCTCTGCGATACTTTTTCACGTATCTCTGTTCCTCTCCACGAAGATTATACGTCGGAATCACGTTTCTCATTACGTCTGTAATGTGCTTCACGAATATTTCGTTGTTATCTCGGCTTTGGTAGAATTCTTTGTACTATTGACAATCGAATGAGCTGAAGTCACGACAAAGTCTCCTTCGCCAGAGAAACAATCATCAGAACAAGAAGTACATTTCGTAAGATCGACGTTTTGAGAGAAAAAAAGAAATTCATCGCTCACCATTCTCTCGATCTTCCGGAAAACTTTTTAATCGGCATCTTACACACTTCCTATTCACTCATGAGGTTTGTTGCGCGATCGTTCGTTAAATTTAATTAAAATGCTAGAAACTGATATACCACGTCTAAATTATTCGCATGACCCTTTGTCTTCTCCAAGAATACACTTCTCCTTCGCCTATGTCACACTCCCGGATTTTTGATGTTAAAGCACGAATGCCAAGAATCTATAGATTCTATAGATTTTCTATAGAAAACATAAGAGTAAGAGAGTTAATTTCAAATCTGACACACAAATTTAACTGTGAAATCGCGAATAATTTCCAACTATTTAATCCAAACACTCATAACATACACATAGGAAAGAGTGCGGCCAAGTTTCCCTTTTGGGGGACCCCATGAAATTTTGTAAAACTTTGAATATTCCAATAACATCGATTTGAAGCTTAAGAGGACTGGATCATACGTAAAAATATAAAGTCTCAATATTATTCTCGTATTATTCTGTGATAACACATAAAGTTCACATTATGCACTAGTGTAGCTGTCTATTGAGATTGTAACTTTTTGGATCGTTTATTCTTCAAACGACTACGAGGATAATATCCAGACTTTATGTTCTTAATTTACTCGACATAAGCTTCAAATCGGTCTATCATTGGAATATTCGATTTTTAAAAAAGGGGCGAAATATATCCACAGGTCCACGGTCTATTCATTGATTTCGAATTTAGTACACGAATTTATTGTGAAATTACAAATAATATTCAACTATTTAATTCAATAAATTCGAAAATAATAAAATAACATAGCGAATATATACAGTTCAGCAATGAAATAGACTGCATTCAGCTGAATGAAGAGTTCATTGCACGTTCAGTGATTATTGCCCGTGATTGAAGTATACTTTTAGATTCATTGTAGCTCTAAAAGAATATTTTAATGATAGCGTGGAGCGCTTACATTAAAAAAATTACATTATTTAAACGCAGTCAGAGACCGATATATATATAAAATCTGCTGTTAATGCCATCAGCCAACAACTCTGTCAACAAATATTACTTTATAATTTAATTTAATGTATTAATTGTTAAAATTTCCTGCGACATGCACGTAATTTGTATTAATAATATAAATATTTATTAATTTTTTCCAGATTATAAAAACACTAAAATATTTGTTAATGTTTTTCAGACTGATATTATGAAAGTGCAATAGAAGAAGTGAATATTAAATTCTACTTTAAAATTGGTAAAAATGCATCTGAAACAGTAACATTTGATGTCATGGGAATGAATATTCATTTCGTGCATAAATATTTTGCTGATTTGCGCGGTTAGATGGGAAATGGGGGAACTTTCTGGAAGGAATTGAGAAAAATAGCTGAGTAGATTAGGAAAACGATGAAAAGTCAGGGCGTCTAATCTCGGTTTGTAATGAAGAATCAAATTTAACTTGTCGAAAAAGTACGAGAACAAAAATTCGATTGTGAATTTTTTTTCTATGCTGTGAAATTAAAAGTGTAAATGTTCTAACCTAAAAACGTTTCTTATTTTTTTACAAATTTATGTTGGAAAGAAAGATTCATGATTTGCCTTCAGGTAAAAATTAACCGTTATATGACCTTGTACATGATGCTTGATGATTTCGGTGTCGATAAAGAGGCAATCCGTAAAATTTTAGTTAAAGTTTGGTCAAAAAAGATTTGTACGTGTTTAAGCTTGCATACTTTGTTGGACAAAATCAACCGTACGATCGCATTCAACATGTCAAAGACGTCATAAAAATTTTCGGGAAAAACTTAAAGTTCTTGGAATCGATTATGACTTATGAACGTCGAAGTATGATGTTTCCAATATGACTCTGAAATGAAACATTAAAGTGTCGAATGAAAATTGCCGAATTTGCCAACAATTAGAAAATTGTGATTCTAAAGATAAAAAATTATCCTAAAGATAAAGAATGTTGACTTCTTTTACAATAGAAAGGCTATTATCCATCTAAATGATGTAAATATTATTGGCAGTTGTTATTGATCGTTTTGAAATGTTATGGAAGCGAATTGTTTTCTTAAAACCAGACAGGTGTTTCTTGCTTTACGACAAAACATCGGCTGATTGTGGCTACTGTACTAGAATTAGCGCAAAAACAAGTTTGCTTGCTCATTTACTCATATTCTCTTTATTTGGCGCTGTGCCACTATTTACTGTTTCTGTTACTGCAACACAAGTTGCCACTAAAAAGACAATATTTCGAAGACCTCGAGCATATATCCAAAAGTCCGTAATATACTTTAGACGAGTCATACTAAAAGGAGATCTTTATAAGTTATTCCAGCTTGGTTGATCATACCACTCCTGTTAAAAGTGATAGAGTATATTCTGAACAAAGTAAATTGATTTGGAACATCGCAGTTCTTTTTTACACATATAAAATAATACGTAATCATGAAGGTGTGTATTTTGTTTGGATACGTGAGAGATTTGCTGCTGATGTATGCGGTTAGAGAAACAGAAAGGGGTGGTGTTGCAACAAAAGCACTCTTTTAGAAAAACTTGGAACATCCGCTTCTCATCTCAAGTTTTTACAATTTTCCAGGAGGGAGCGGACTCGGGGTTGGCGGGGGACGAGCCCGGGGCATCACGGGGCCACCGGGGATGGGCATGGGCATCGGCGGCGGCGGCGGCGGCGGTGGTGGTGGTGGCGGCGGCGGCGGCGGCGGCAGCGGTGGAGGCGGCGGTGGCGGTCCGGGAATGCTGGGTCGTTCGGGCGGGTTCGGACCGCGCGGTGGTGGCGGACCCCACGGTGGCGGCGGCGGTGGCGGCTTTTTAAGTGGGGGCGGTGGCGGTCCCGGTGCGATGAGAATGGAGAAGATGCATCCGCATCGATTCAATCCGATTGGCATGGGCGGTGGCAGTGGCGGCTACGTGCAGTCGCATTTCTGGTGACCGCAACACGCTGATGAGGATGACGATGGCGATGATGGCGATGGCGACGACTGTTGTCTTCTCTCACTCGAGACAGGCCTTCGGGAATTGCCGTTCGTAACGTATAGCTGGGAGCTGATTGGGGGTAGGTTGGGTGAAACCGAACTGGACGATAGTATGGACTGTGGGAAACAGTGTACGATTTCGAAAGATTGACACATGTAAATCGGTTTAAGTAACAATTACTTAGAATTATATATGGAATTTTAATCGCGATATATATATATATATATATATATATATATATATATATATATATATATGGACTAAAGCCATGTATATATATACTAATCCATATATATATATATATATGGATTAAAGCGTATCTAACGTATGAACTGAATCTAACGTATGTATGATTTTACGTGTCGATTTCGAAAGCAAATACTGTTTTATACAGTTGTACTGGACGACTTAAACCCGAACTGCGGACTGACGCATAGGAGAAAGTCCAGGCCTTCAGTGTCAACATCGATAAAGATTTTCTTAGCGATGAAAGAATAACGAATGTTACATTGCTTTTGAAAAGTTTTATTGTTATTGAAGACATATTACTTACTGTTTTAAAGGTTGAGCCGAAAGCGTCCTCTAATCTCCGATCTGTTGTTCTTTTATCACTAATGACATTGACTAAGCCGGACTCCTTTTCTGCGCGCCACTCTGTACTTTCACGCTAGCTGAGGAGAACACGACGAAATTAGGAATAAAAAATTCAAACTAGCTACGGTTTTTAAACCTTAAAGACCATGTTCATCTTCTTAATACATTTTTATTTTTAACGGAATATCATTATAAACTATTCACAAAGATAAGCGGACATTCGATTTCAACTGCTTATCTGATCTTATTTTATTCTATTCTATTCGAGCGATCGCAAAGCCCAAGTGAAAAAGAAGGATAGTGATTATAGGATCTCCTCTAACGATTATATTCTCATACTGCACATTTAGATTCGTATACACACGATTTTGTTATAGATTACACATCGAGAGCGAGAGTCATCATTTTCAAATAGAATCTAATTAATTTTCGATTACAGTTGAGTCCGATTTTACAATACCAAAAACTCATTGTATAGAGTATTGTAGGTAGTTTACAACAAACATGATGCATGCATTATCTTAACCGTTTGTTATAATATCTGAATATATAATATTTATATATAGTCCTCCTTCCAGCTTCACGATCGCTCGAACACACAGGAGAGCGTCGTTTCAATTCGTCAATGTTCCGCTTATATAATTATGTAATAGGGATAGCCATTATAAAATATAGCCCCCGGTGGGCACAGCCCTTATGTCGTCATTTTCATTGGCGCTGGCTGGACCGGACAGCCCCAGGGGGCAGCGTTACGCAGAAGCTAAAAGTTTTACATGTTGTTGCAAATTTCATTTTTTTAAAGGGTTCTAACATGAGAGTACTAGGGATTTAATCGTAAGTCAAAGTTTTAACACAAATCGATAGTTTCGACGGGTAAACGTTTAAGCGTTTCCTACTCGATATGGCGTTGGATGACAAAATTTGATTCGAAAACATCCAGCAGTTCTATGTTTAAATAATGATGATTGTTGACAAGGGAACTGTCACAACTGACCGGTGCCAAATTGTTTCTCTTTGAAATATGCTGATAGATATAAAAACATAAGGAACTTGTATTTTTTTATTCATGCGCATAAAGTAGTTTTAAAGTATGAGACAATCTCTCAAAGCTAATCCGGCATATTTGATTCTAGAGTAAATATTGTTGAAATTTTGGAATATATAAGAAAGATGTTCTAAATAAGAAAATTGTTTTATTGTAATTAATGCACTTTATAACTGTAGTGTTTAAATTTTACAATAATTTAATTTTCTCTCTTCAGAATATGCCTATCCCTTACCATTTTTACAAAACTTGAAATTTTTGTTACAAGAAAAACAAAATTTTTGCTTACAAAGATTAAGCGCATTCGGCGCTAAATTCATATATTCATTTATATTTGAGTCAATATATGAAAAAAAGAATAAATATATATATATATATATATATATATATATATATATATATACACACACACACACACACACACACACACAGAATATGTCGATTTTGCAATTGTAATCTATAAATGTAATCTATAAATTATGTTAAACATTATCGTTTATTTAACTTTTGTTTAATCTTTATTTAACAAAAACGAATTGACAAACAATGATAAAGTTACATGAATATATATATATATATATATATATATATATATATATATATATATATTTATATAAGAAAACATAGTATCTTACAATATCTTTAAGATATCTTACAATATATTGAGATATTTATAGACTATTTTTTAAAAATCGCAAAAATAACGTAGGGGAAGATAGAGGTATTCTACTAAAAATTAAACTATTACAGTTGCAAATAGCATAAATTATCATGAGAAACTCTTTTTCATCCTTTAAAAAGATTTTACATATATCTTATATTTTTTGGCGATAGATATTTAAAGTCAAATATGCTGGATTAGCTTCGAAGATTTCTTCACCTCTTGAAACTGCATATGTATAGATATAAAAGAGTACATGAATCTATTAATTTTTTGTATTTAATAATATATTTTAAGGAGAAACAAGTTGACGCTGGATAGTTGGCACAATTTCTTTTTTGAGAATATGCGATATAAATATGTCGAAATCAACTCATAAATCGATTTTACGCGCGCGTTGCGACAACAGGGTGAATGTAATTTAATTTAATATTTGGGAGCAGTATTAGCGGTATCGCGTATTCTTTCATAGTCCATAAGACAGTTCGGAACACGTTATGCCCGCTGTATTTTAAGTTCAATTTACTGGCGTTTACATAATTCATAAATGTTGTTGCTAAACCGAGAGTGAGAAAAATACCTTATAAACATCTTAAAATATTTATGTAAAGTCGTAAAGAACTTGGAATAAATACCATTAGCAACTGTCTTTATCTTTTGTTAATTGATCGTTAAGTGTACATTAGATTTTATTAATTTGTACGTAAGTGTGCGTATGTGTGCGTGTGCGTGCGTGCGTGCGTGCGTGCGTGCGTGCGTGTGTGCGTGCGTGCGTGCGTGCGTGCGTGCGTGCGTGTGTGTGTGTGTGTGTGTGTGAGAGAGTGAGTGTGATGCATACCAGATAGTGCGTACATGCGTGTGTTTGTGTGTGTATATGTATGTATGTACGTATATATGAATGTATATATGTATTGATGTGTGTGTGTATATGCATGTATGTATGAATGTATATATGTATTGATGTATGTATGTATGTATGTATGTATGTATGAATGTATGTATGTATGTATGTATGTATGTATGTATGTATATTTGTATGTATGTATGTATGTATGTATGTATGTATATATGCATGCATGCATGCATGCATGCATGCATGCATGTAACAATTTATGTACGTATTACGTTATTACGTATATATAGTGTATACTATATGCACATTAGAGTTTTCAAATATTCGGATATCTGATTATCTGAGTATGCGAAATCGTTCTCGATCCAAAAACGTAATATTCAGACTCCGCACTATTCAGATACAATTTAGACAATGCGAGTTATTTGGTTTCATGTTGTTAAATTTCTTCGTTAAAATCTTTGCTTTGTTAAGTTGTTAAAGAATATCAATTTATTGACTCTTTGTCAAATATTCGAAAGAAAACTTGTTAGTCGCGAACGTGTATGTTTGGTCAAATGCGCTGCGAACTTAAATCCGTATTCAGATCCAGCGCTTCGACACATTTCGAGTGTTTTGGAAAATCCAAATCCCCGCGAATAACTCATAGTTATATAATTATATTTGAGGTATCATATTTATCCTCTATCGGAATATTCGAGTATTCGAATAATGGGTGAAATCTTAATGCACATATATACGGTGCATACTAACTTCAGCACATTAATTGTATATTTTTATTCCTTGTTAAAAAAATTTCAATCAAATAGAATTCTCTATTTCATACACGATGCTAAAGTAGTAATTATTAAGTAAATTCAGCCAATCTGTCGTTACACACAGGCGCACATTCATGAACCGCGTGGTTGGTAATGTGCGTAAGTATTCCGCTGTGATATTACCATACTACCAATATCGTTTGGGTATAACTTTCGCTACTAAAGCGAATAATTTTTTTTTTCTAATAAGAATTATGTTTTTCACGCTGATGACAGTATAATCTATAGGGAAGATGCTTCAGTTTGATGGTTTGTTATATAAACTGAAGATATTTCAGTTTGACGGTTTGTTATATAAACTGAAGACACTTAAGTTTGTATAACACGAGTCGAATTTATTTGTTGGATTCATAGATATTACGATTCATTCGATAGTAATGCTGACATTTTTATCTCGAATAAAGTAATCTAAATAAATCAGATTAATTCCTTTGGATAACAAATAACCTTTCTATATCCTTTTTATTATAATAAGGAACACTAATATGAAAAATATTACTTCTGCAGAGAGTCAAACTTAATGCCTGCTATTTCTCAGTAAGAGCATTGGTTTAGAATCAAAGAGAGAGCGAGAGAGAGAGAGAGAGAGAGAGAGAGAGAGAAAAATAACACTCTAATAATATTCAAAATAATATTAGACCATGATTATATAAGAAAATCGAACATTTTGTTTAGTCTGTATTGATAAGATATCCTCTCTATAACTCTCTGGTAGAGATGTATTATCCTCTCGTTAAATTAGACTACATATAGTCAACAGCGCTTAGACCATCATCGATCAAATTCTATATAGCAAATTTCATAAAAAAATTTTCTTATAAAACGAATTGCACAAAATTCATATAGTTTCTATTTAGTCGAAAAAAATTAGTTACGTTAAATTAATCGGACAACATTACTCGTAGAAAGAACTTGTTAAATTATTTATTTTATAGTTTAAATAATAACAAAGACTTAGAGGATGGAGAGAGAGAGAGAAAACAAAATTTTAATAATTTAGTAAATTTAAACAAATGTATAAAAAAGAATTTAATTTATGTTTATCTTAAGCTTCATATATTTATAAAAACAAAATTTTATCGTTTTTATTTTACAATTTTTTTTATCTTATAAGCCAATATCTACAAAATCTGATTGTTAATATAATAAAATTACTTAAAAAAATTTTTTATAGAATATTATCACTAGATGTAATACAAAAAATTGTTACAGGAAAAACGATTTAAACGTTATAAATTTTAAAAGTTAAGTGTCAACATATTAAGTCTCTAATGTGCCAATTAATAAATATAAGAAAAAGATAAGATGTCTATATATACATTCTATGTAAAAATGCGTATCAAATTTTGAACTTATAAAAAAATTTAGATTTAGAATTTGATAGAAAAAAATATAAAATATACAGATTTTTTATATGAAAGTATTATTAAACCATTAAATCGCTATTCAGGCCAATTAAGACGATTAAAATTTACTCTCAAAACATACTTCTAGAATGTTTAAACCAAATAGTACTTTTAATGATAATGTTGCAACAGAGTTACGCACATTACCAGCGGATCGGCTGGATTTACTTAATAATTATTATTTTATTCTATGAAATATATAGTTTAAGATTCACCTTTAGATTCCAATTTGTTTAGCAAGCAATAACATTATATAATTAGTGTACGTAAATTAATATACATGATCTATACATACAAAGTGACTGGCAATTAATAACAATGCTGGCGTGCAGCTGTAGCACATCAAATAGAACAGGAAGGTCCTCTGTTTGTAAGTTTTTCAATAGTTATTGAGAAATTAATTAAAGAATACCAGCGAATGAGTACGCGGGAAACAGTAGCGCGAGCTTCGTAGACAGAGGTTCATCCAAGATGTCTTGAATTTGTTATGCATTGACAATCTCCTTCCAACGGCGGGCGATGCGTGATATTGGACAGTAAAGGCGTGCAGTCCAGTATCATGAGATCCTTCCTGCAGAGAACTTATTCTTTTCCGTGCACTCACTTTCCCTAATATTCTTTAATTTATTTCTTAATAACTATTGCGAATTTTGCAAAACAAATGAAGTAACTTTTCTATCCAGCTTATAATGCGTTCTAGCTGCAGACGAGCGTTCATAATTAATAGTTGGACATCTCGTATATGTTATTCAAATTTCGTGTAAGTGCGTATATGTATGTGTGTGCGCGCGCGCGTGTAGTACGTACATATCACGTGTAAGATATCTCTTTTTTTTTTTGGGCTAGTTATCAAAATTTTGTATATTTTGTGTACTTAAGGTCTGTCGATTAGCGTAGGAAATTAGCGCGGGTGAATCTCGAGAATCGCTCGATTAATGAATCGATCGTCGTCATTATTCTCGCCGCAATGGTATACGTAGACGCGTAAGAAGACTTGATACTATTTCAACACCTTATAGATAATGAGACTGACTTTTTATAGAGAACAAATTTTAAGCGAATATGTCAGAGTTGCGTGTCGTATTGTTAACCAAGGCGAGGAGAACGGAAAACGCTGTATTCGTCTCGAATCTGTGCGATGGATTTAGAAGACAAAGCGAAATGTCTGCGAGAATCTGTGATTTGTACAAAAGGAGGACAAATAGAAACTTGATAATCACCCACGTTAGAGAAACAAACAAATTGGAAATAAGATCGTCGTACACATCTCTACTCTAATTGCTTTATTACATAATTATATTTAAGCGCCACGTTAAAAATGATTCTGAAGCAATAAAAAAAAAAGTAAAAGTAGAACCAATTTGTCCTACCGATTTAAATGTAAGCAGAATTTTAACTTAGCGATATCATTTATTTTCATAAGTAGATCACTTTATCGCTTTAACGTTATATGTATGTCATTTGTATGCGTGTGTGCGTATGTATGTGCGCGCGTGTGTGTATGTAACAACGTCCTCGAAGTTACCTGAAAACAATTACTATTATTATTAATATTATCATCACCGTTAAAGTTAGGCAACGCATAACCATATAAGTCGTTCTACAAAGTATAGCAGAACTTATTTATCACATATTAACATAATTATCATTCTGTGAGAAAAAGAAAAAGAATATATATACACACATGCACGCGTGCGCGTTTGTGTAAATATATAAAACTGCTAGGCTTGTGCAATTAGCAAAGGTCTCTTACGTTGACAAGAACATAATGATGAGAAACGAAGTAAGACACTTCATTCGGCAGTGACAAAAGTGATAAATTCGTGATAGGTATAATCGAATTTTGCAAGTGACGTGGGCGTTCGATCGCACGATAATCGATATGATTTTGACGAGAAAACAATAAATAATACATATGTGATTTGTGGCGTCGCACCAATGGATGTGTACCAAAAGATTTAATAAAAAACAGATATTGTGTTTACTGGGAAAAGGACTTCTTTATGGCGGACATTACTACAAAGATTATCTTAAAAATGTTTTAATTATTACAAAGGAAATATTATGTGTGTGCGTTAGCATACACGTGTGCACCACACACACAAACACATACACACACACACATAGGTTATAGAGGAAAGATCGAATAGGTGTCGAAATATAGGAGAATATTTTATTAATATAACATAAAAAGGGGAAGGGAACGATTTCTTGATCAAATTTTATGACATTATGAGACAGATATATGTTTAAATTATATTATGATGTTCAAGGCTTCTATTCGAGACTTAGAGAAGATCTATAATTTTGGATAACAATCGACTTTTTACACACTCCTAATATATTTAAAGTGGTTTGATATGTTTTAATGATCTGAGACCATTCCTGAATATATTCGTTTTGAGTTATATATCTGTTTTGTGTCTTAAAACTCTATCACTAATTATAGTATACACTTTTTTATCGATGAATTCGGTCGATCACAGTGTTGCCCTTCAAAAGGCAGCTTGCATTTATAAAAGCAAAGTGCCCGATGACGAGCCGCAACGTAATCGCTCATTCACATTTTTAC